AAGTCTTACCCATCCTAAATACTACGTGTATACCAAATTACTTGACTATTGGTTTACTCAATAAGGCGCCAAGAAAGATGTAACAAACAGACACTTTCACATTTAGTAATATTTGTAAGGGTTAAGTTAGCAGTTATTGCATATAGCAATAGCACAGATAATATAATATTACATAGCAATAGTAAGTATAAATGCTTTTATGGAAGAATAGCGTCGGGAGTCGAACTTCTCCCGACATGCAGTGTCAGCGTCTTCTTGGTGGCACAAGCTATTATTTTCGTAAGTCATGGTAACTGTTATTTTTTACTGCAAACTATATAGTATTATTTCGCATAGAACTCCTCCTACACAAATCTAATAACGTAAATTAACAAATATTTAATAACTACCACATACAAACATTAAGCTTCTATTTCGCTCTTTCATTTTGTTTTCGTAACGAAATTTAGTAACTTGTTTCTTCAAGTTTCGATATATTTCTATATAAGACCAAAATTCATCAAAATTACTTCACTGGCTTTGGCCTGTAATCGTAACAAACTAATAGACCGAGTTGCTTAAGTGTTTATAATATAAGTACCTATACCTATTTACTTTTTTTTATTAGCAAAACACTAAACTAAGCAGTATTTTTGCATGAATTCCAAATTTCATTAGAAACTTTCTGTTTGTCATGAATGAATGCTATCTGGCGTGAAGATAGTTACTTAGTTACTTAATTATAATATTCTTATTAATATATGCTTAATTACCGAAACTATTTTTATACAACAGACTTTGTAAATACAATAAACTTCGTAAAAAGTAATTTCGTGATATCCAGTCTCACACAATGGTCGGCTGAAATCAGCCGCCAAGCAGCCTACTTTGTAACCTGTGTCACAAGGTATGAAGTCGTAGACCTCAAAAATGGCAATGCAAGAGTGGTATCACGGATGTCACATAATAACGTTCGCTACCACTTACCATCATGTGATCGGTCAGCTTGTTTGCCATGCCAATTACATAAACAAAACATTCGTGAAATACGTCACACAACCGCGGATAATAATTACCGGTTTTTGGAGGTTATGGAATCCTTTTCCATAGTAATATCACATGAACCATAGTAGGTGTACAATCTTTACATAGTATAAAATGAAGGCGCTTCCGCTGTCTGTTCACTTAAATCTTTTAAACTACGCAGCGATTTTAATGCAGTTATTAGCAGTAGATAAATTTATTCAAGAGGAAGGTTTATATGTATAATACAAATTCACTCGTGCGAAGCTGGAACGAGTAGTCCAATATAAATCTTAATGTTATAAAGGTAATAGTTTGTTTTTATATCTTGCGAGTCGAATTTGTTATTGTTACAAAGGTGGCGTGACTGTAACCCCAGTTCTTGGTTACTCACCAGAATGGTCAATATGTGGTGAAGGTATCTCAACTGTAAAACAGAGTAACAATCTGCGAAATATGTATAAGGTGAATCACTTTATACATATTTTGCAAAGTATAAAAAATTTTTATTTGTTATCGTACTTTAAATTTGTTTTAAAAACCTTGAGTTAGCATAATGTTCATTAAAATGTAATAAAAACTTAATCACGTTCTATATGGAGGTTCATAAAATTAATGTTCTTCACTTTCAAATATTTTTCAAGTGAAGCGTGAAAAAAATTGTTGAAAGGGGTTAAATCGAATTACAACTTTTAATAATGGAAATTTTCTTATAACATGTCGTGTTTTTGCTCAACAAGATTTATTTTGTAGTGTGACGTGTAAATTATTTTCATATTAATACTCTCAATTTTGTATATAGACTAGAAAGATTTACGTATCTTTTAAATGCCCAATTTCTCGTAATATAAATAATAATAATATTCCAGGACAATCCACACAGCGCCATCTAATCCCAAGCAGATTCCCAATTAGCAGAGATTGTCTTATATTACCTACTAGATAACTGGTATATTTCTTTTTGTAAATACATACACATTATACATAGAAAATACCCAGACCGATTCAAACAACCATACTCATGAATACAAATGTTATTACCGAGCGAGGAATGGAACCCACGAACATCGCGGTGTGCTGAACTGTTAGGCCATCGAGGTCATCAAATAAAATATTCGTTTCCATCTTTATCTTTAAAAATATAGAAATGCGTTCCTTGTTAGTAGGTAATAACATAATACTAAAGTTTAGAACAGTATACATTTTTAGCATTAAAATACGTAACCGTTTAACGTCCATAAACGTTCCAACATTAACAACTGGTTAATAACAACTAGTTAATCATAGCTACCAAGCAAACGTGTCTTATTGTATTTACAATTTCAATAAGTTATACGATAAAATGTTTACTTCGATACGGTATCTCTAAAAGCCTATAATACGCAATCACCGCACTTAGATTTACTGTATTCATGTATAAATCCGTAGAAATACTGACAAATAATATTATATTTACTTACTGTAGTCTATAATATTTATAAATATATGTATAACTCTGGCCAACTTATACTATGGGGACTAGAGAACTGACAGATGCCTAAAGTTTTATTTTAAAATATATCTATACACAAAAAGAAATTGAAGTTACTGTTTGTAATTTCAAATTAATTGCTTTTTACTAAATGCCTATGAAAGTATAGACGATACTTACATAATCTGTCTGTCTATTTATTCTTTGAAATGACTGGACCGATTTTGTCTTTCATTCGTAGATAGCTAATGTTATAAGGAATAACTCAGCCTAATTTTAGATAATATTTTTAAAAAATTTGCGGATGAAGTCGCAAGCAACAATTAATTTATGTTATAGACAGCAAAACAACCAGCCCAATACAAACAGGCATTAATCAACTGATAGCATCCAGGTAGCTGACTAACTTCGATCAAAGAAAATTTTCGTTCGAAATATCAAATATTATTTTCATATTTCGTGTACATATTAACAGTTATTGCCGGAAAGTATATTTTAGTTATTAATCTAAAATGAAAAATAAGTGTTGTCTATATACATTACAAGCAATTTATCGTATGATGACATCTCTCATGCGTTGACATTCCGAAGGACTAGTGTTATACTCTAGCCGTCATCATACCGCATATTCCTATAATTTGACTGCCATATACTACATATACTACATTATCGACATATGCTACATCTCACCTCAAGCAAGCTGCTTGGCGGTTGAAATAAGTGAGAAAGAGGTATTTGACTTTGACCATACGGTAGTTCTGGCAATTTGTCTCATTAACCATCTCAACTAACCATTGTCTAAGATTATATTTAGAATCTACAGCCAGAAATAAAAGTAACAGACAGTAAGTATTTTTCATTAATACCTACATAATACTTTCATCAAGACTGATGATCCTGACATATCAACAATGTGTGTATCCGTTTATTTATAAAAACTTAAGTAATTACTACCATATTTTCGTTCCTAAGTCGGCAGTCATAATCGTATACTTTTTTAAGTTTACCGTGATCATAGCGTTTATAATACTCCCGAAATATCAAAAATTATTATAAATAAAAACGAATAAAACATAGTATTGATTTCCTTAATATTACGTGTAAACCGTATACTACTAGTATGTAAATAAATTTTAATTACATTACAAGTAAATCAAATAAAAAAAGATTTAGTCATTTTAGTAATTATATAAAAGAATTTCAAATTCTTTTCTTAATTTTGTAGTATGATTTATACATTAAATCATTAAATGACTTCAAATATTTCTTTATTGATATAGCTAATATATCTAATGGACAGTCTTGAAGTTCACTATTACACTATGTAATATCTCGATGGATGAGAGTTCTTATTGGAGCAATATTGCCTAATACTAATAAATAAACTAATAAATAAACTCTAATTATTAATATAAAATGTAAATTTAATTTTAAAAATTATTTTCAGTGTACCAAATAAACAATTTTCTTTCTTTCTTTAATAACCAAGATTTTTAAGTAATGGCAAACACCGCCAGATAAATAGATTAATGTATGACGGTAAATCAAATATACTCCACGAAATGTGGAGAAAATTCAGATACGTCTACTATATTAAAGCAGTGAATATTTCAACCTGGTAATTTTGAACCCGGTGACAGTAATTTTTGGTCCGTACTACCAGACTATACTTTCGCAAATCCATATCAAATTTTGATTAATTTTCAAAAGAGTTTACTCTAATGTCGGTTCCAAATTACAAATATAAACAGAATATACTGAAGCATTCCATCGAATTCAGAATTCCAAGGATGAAACTGTACCACCCATAACAAATGCACTGTGTGGTCATTTCTGTGAAATAAGATCTTATGCTTGTTGCTTATATGAAAATTTATTATCGAACCTATACTAATTATCCCAGATCTCTACATGACCGGGAGAATTGGTCAGCTCAGATGTACGTTGTTAAACAATATCTACATAATTTTTCAAATTATTACTATATTTTCGTATTATTTAACAACTTTATTTATTTGATTTAACCGATACCAAAATCTCAATGTAATATGAATAAAACACCTAAACTAATGAAACATTAAGTAAATTTCTATAACTATCGAAAAACATGTAAAATATTTTATAATTATGTAGACGTCCATTACGGTTATACGATTTAAATATGATTAATTCTAATAATTGAGTAGTTATCTAATATTATTATAAGATATTAATCATTAACGGCAGAAGCAGCGCCCGCAGTAAATATTTTCTATGTGCGCACCAACTCACCGGCCCGTTAATATAATTGTGATCGCATTTGTCGACGCAATGTAATTGATGAAGCGCCAATCATTTATTAGATTATTAATGATGGCAAATATATTCTTAAATCAAATATTTTATTACTATTTATTTACTAAATAAATGAAAGTAAGAGCTATAATAGTTAGGCTAAATGTACTCGCACATTAACATATAAACAGACAAAAAGAATATTTACAAAATATTAAACAAAAAATATATAAAAGCATAAAAAATAACCAACCAAAATTCCGGGGCAAATAAAAATCCAAATGAAAATGTGCACAAAATAAAATACAACACTTCACACCAACAAAATCTTTCGGTACACCGATAATAACACATAAAAATCTTAGAAAGCTCAGTAAGTCTAAAACGCACTTTTAAATACACCAAACACACAACATTACCGTTTGCCGCCAACTGCAACTTTTTTCAAGAGTTTCAGAAAATATAAAAAAATGCAAGTGTTCAAAAAAAAAATTATTGCGAATAATTCGCGAGTTCGGTTTTCAAGTTTCGCGACGCGCCGTTGCGCATATCACGGGAATGGGAATGTGAAATTTTTGACTATTATGGGGAGGATGTGCGCATAGCTGTGGCTTAGATGAGACTGTGGCGTGGTACCGCGGCGGTCCAACTGTGTGGCCAAAGACGACTTTCGCCCCGACCGGTCGCCCTACAGCTCTGGCGACGAGTGACGCATCCAGGAATACTGTTAATTCACTATATTTAACTATGACACTTTTTCTAATTCACTCTTATGTAATATACATATTGAAAGTCACAATAAGCATATTTGTTTAGAAATAATAAAACGAATAAAACATAAGTCATAAATATAGGGGCTGGAATCAGATTATTGAATGAATAAATTATCGACATTTGAACATGATTGCATTTCTCCCGTGTTAAAGTAAAAGAGCATACTATCTATTGTAATTTAGAAATATTCAAATTCACGTACAAAAGGGCACCGTCACTGTATACAATTAGATATAACTGCGAAATGACATTGTAGATTCTTTATATTACTATTTATAAATTCACTTAACATAATATCTGACTATATGATTCATCAATATTTTAGTAAATGAATCATACGGGTACCTAAGTAGGTAAATTAAAATTACAATGCATAAAAATAAAGCAAATGTTCATGCGGTTCAATCCGAATTAAATTAAAATATAAGTAGAACTATTAATAAATATAAAAATTATTGCGGTTAATTTAAATTCGCAAGAACAAACCGCTAACCACATGTCTTTTATACCTACCCATTATTATACTTCAAACTAGCTTTATGTATCAAGACTTCCTTTGCGTATACTGTTAAAATTTGTCCTTAACCGTGTTATATTGATATCTTGCTCAACTTTACAATAAATTACTTCGAAATAATAATGATTTTAACCCAAAAATGTTATTAATAATAATATAATTAAAATTACTTTTTCTGCGTTATTTTATTTTAATTACCGTGCCATAGTAAATTACCTAAAGTTTATTTACTTCGAAAAGTAAACTACATGAGCCTACTACGACAATCATATTTATGATGTCTTTAAAAGGATTTCAGATGTTTAACATTATTTGAGTACATTTAAATGTAGATTAATAAGTGTTTCCACAAAAATGAGGATACAAATAATTCCCAATTTTTTTGATAAGATGCGCTGTTTTTAGACTTTGTAGACAATTTGTGCAGAAACACCGCATCGCTTGCATAATTTCCCTCTGGTTTACCCGAATTACGCACGTAACATGCATATGATACTTCCTACACTTACGTCTGAATTTGTATAATTTGTAATCAACTTGGCACACACTACTAGTGTCTACGAAATTGTCATAATAGCCAGAATATTCTAATTAACATTACACATGCGATATTTATTTTATTTATATGTTCAAATATGACTTTGTAACATATTCGAACATACAAACAATAATATTTAAAAACCACAAGAATATATGTGTCCCTAATCTAAAAATCAAAAACTAAATAATTATGGGATTTGCGTTTGTACAAATACTTTGTTACCTATTCGTTTTACTAACGTCTCTTTCAATAAATTATAACATATTTGATTTGAAAGAAAACATATTTAATGATGTTTACAGTATAATTAGTTTTTAAATTGAACAAAATTTTGAACTCAGATTTTGCGCAAATTGAACTGCCAAAAATTAATAAGGTAATACTATATTTCTACAGAAATACGTTATGAACTAATCCTCCTTTTTTCGCCATCGTAGTCGGATAAGATTTGTAATACAAGCATTTTTATTTAAAACTTAATTATTTATATACGTGATATTATCGTAATATCTTTATATGTAGATATTGTAACATAACATTACTCTTGGGTAAAAACGAAGTGACTTAAGATAAAGTGAATTAAACACATTTTGTTATAGGTATTATATCTTTCTATATTGAAATAATGAAAAAGTGAAACTTTCAAACTCAAATCTGATTTCAAAGTATCAATTAAAATGTCGAGTTTATAGACATTCCTATTCTCCTTGTGATCACATTATAGTATAAATTATCATGAAACAACAACAATAAGGGAACACTATCGGGAGTTATGTCATAACCCAGTTCTAACTTGAAGTCAGGACTTTATGCAGGAAACGACAGGAGCAGGACGTCGACTTCACCGTAACTGTTTACAACAGTTGCAACGTTGTTCGTTGTTCCCATCTATGACATTATTTCAGTTGGAAACTGTAGATGTGTTTACTAAGAAACTTATATATCTACTCCAATAATATATATTCTTGGGGCTTATAGCTGAATAATAATATAAAATTAAACTAAATTATATTATGACATGTACGACCACGCCACATTTTGAAATTGGATAAAAAAGTTAAAACAATTAAGATTAGTTATGAAGTCGTAAAATTCTATAACGTTAGCATGAGACTATTCTTTTATGTAATTGTAATGACAAACAATCTGTTGGTTCATCTTATAGTAACTGTTTACCGTTACTTATATATATGAACAGCACTACGGGCATCACGTTATCTATCTATCTATCTTCTTATGTCCGCGATAGCACACTTGCGTTGTTTTTAAGCAGTAATTTTACTGCCTAATCTATACCCTCCAACCGAAATACACTTTCAAAGTTGGCTTGGCTGCTGAAGTAGGTTAAATGAGGTACCCGCTCAGAGGACTTTTTACAGTCTACTTTTTACTAACAATCCTTTCAAGTATATCAAGAAATATATATATCACAACCTCGGTATTTATACTCTTGGTTTCATTAATATCTCAAAATATTCGATCTGGTTTCTTTAGAAAGCCACAAAATTTGACAAGTATTGAATATCTACTAGGACTTTCTCTCGCTTTTTCCGCCATCACGTCAATTCATCTCAAACTGAATAGACATAAAAGGAATCAATTGACAGTCCCTGTTCGGAAGAGCACAGGAAGAGCTAGTTTTGTTTTGACAAGAACCAATTGTGCCATTATGTTCCTGATTTTTTTACTTTTCGAAATAATAATACGTGTACAAGTTCAGTGTTTTGTTGTCATAAACCATTCATTGCGAATTTTAACTCTAACGGACACAGGTAAAAATAGATTGGAAATCTGTTTTAAAAGTCGAACATTATACCTTTTAATATGTAGTACTGGAACATATTACAACAATATTTTAAAGATCCATATATTATTTTGAAAGTATTTACTTAAAGACATGATATATACCTACCTACCTAGAGAAGGTTTTATTTTAATTAAGTAGTATCATCTGGTCTGTTTTTGTGAAATTCCATATTGGTCATCCAAAGAGTCTACAAATTACACGTATTAAAAATGTATTAATATAATAAAAAGGATTCTGAAGACTTATACTAATTCAATTGAGTGTATTTGTAATAAATATTATTTTTATTGCAAAAACAAACATGTAGTAGGTATTCTCGATATAGAGCATACTTTAAAACAACATACTACTCTTATATATAAAAACTTACCAATACAAAGTGTTGAAAGTATAAGCCTGGCCTGGATCTTGGACATTTTTATAAAACATATAACTTTTACATTTCAAAAATTTCTAATATTAACGTATAAATATAATAAATATACATCATTTTAATATTCTATTTACTGCATAAATATCATATTTCCAAAGCCAAGATTTAAATATACGACAATTTCAGTTTATAAACAAAAAGTTCAATGATTCATACAATTCTAATATTACCGCTATAAAAGCTAAAGAGTCAAAGCATTGGGTAAAATGGAGCAAATTGTTTGTATCAATCTAATGCGATTTAAAATACGTCTCATTACAATCATTTATTAAACATCTACAGGACAGTCACTGTTCAAAGGTTACATGCATCTGGAACACACGTTCCAACTATCTAAGTTACAGACAAACAACTAGTTTAATAATGAAGCTCATGTAGAAAATATCCGTTATCTTACATCTATCAGTAGATCTTGCGGACAACTCACTTGCTGCTACCGTCTGCGGTAATAAACAGAAATCCGATACCCAGCCTACGACAAGCATTTAAAGCCAGATCTGATAAGGCGATCGTTCAGTTATTATTTACAATCTGTTCACGGTTGTCCCTTATGCCAAAATCAACTGCATTTTTATATAGGCAATCATGGTACAAGTTATACTTCGAATGTTTGAACAAATATTTGTTTAAACAAGCATTTGTAGCTTTCGTCGTTTGTAGATGATCAGTTTTTGTCATAGATTTCGTGGCACACAACAAAAAATATACTACAGCTGCAATAAATATGATTAGAATGTTATGATTAGATCAACAGCAGTTGAGTTGTGGAAGGAAATAAACAATCACTCCGGCACATCATTGATCAGTATTTCCTCATAATGTAGACAGATTCAAACGACAACGGATCAGAAAACCAAACAAAACTCGTTTTAATTTCCGCTAATATAGCCAGTGACAGCTGCGACCTGAACTGCGAATTCTAAGACCCTATATTAATTTATTCATTTATCCTTCACGCCCTAAATCCCTTGTATTGACGCATAAAGGGTTTAAATGGGTGTTGCCGCGTGCGCAACCCATCCATCTCCGCCAGCGATGCAATACAAATCAATTTCTAACACTAATCATTTGTACCACTGTAGATATTTGTACCTGCATGATTGCTTATGATTTAGGGATGTGAAGATATATTTTCCATCAGCTGGTATTTTATACTTCACACAACCCTATAAAGTAAATTGAATTATATATTTTATTTGAACGTATTAATAATTACAGTTCAATTTCATACCAAAACACCTTGGCAGAAACGAGATACACGTAATTATGTTATTTATTTTGTTTATTAAAGGTAAATACATATTTCCAAGGATACTAAAATAAAACTTACTTTTATGGAAATATGTAATATGATATTCTGATATTATTAACATCAATTAATTATCTTTCATTATGAAATCATCATACTGTGATAAATAAACTACTCAGTTGAAGTATAATCGATGCATCAATATCGAATATTTAATAAAAATTTAATTTAATATTTATTTATTTATCAAGCAGTGCATGTTTGCGAAATATGAAAATAATGAGAACAATTTATTATAAAGGCATTATAATTAT